TTGTTTGGTATGATGTGACATGTTGCTTTGGCTTTGTTTATTCTGTATACTAGTCACATGCTTCTGATTTGTTTTTCTGGATCAAACGTCGTTTTCTAATTTTTCCCAAATATTTTCACTGAAAGTTTTGAAAGCCAGCTACAGTTTTATTTAACAGGACTTTGCTTATAGTGTTGTTAAGACAAAGTAGTTGTATTCTGCTTGCTGAGTCTTTTTTCTTAGAGGTCCAAGTGAAGTTTGTTAGACCATTTTTCTGTTTCTCTATATATTTGCTTTAGCCTTGTTTGGAAATTTAGGATCAGTGAAGAGAGTTTTTTGAATGAATTGTTGCTCTCTGTAATTATAAAGCATTTATTAGCCAAATATACTATCAATAAAATCCTGAGTCATAAGTACTTATCTTAATATTTAAAAAAAAAAAAAATGAATATATATATTTTTTATATAGAAAAAAATTAATAAAGTTTTTACCTATACTAAGTCTGTTTTTTAACCTGTATATATAAGAATATCTAATATATAAGTTATTTTAAATGCACTAAAAAATGAATCCAGATATTCTATAGCATATCATATCAAATCTAATAGGTTGAAAATGCTAAAATTACTAAATATGTATAGTTTTGATATCTTTATCATTCTTAATAAAAAAGATAGAACATTATTTAAATTCTTTAATAATTGTTCTAAATATAATATGAAGTATGTTATAGCATACTGCCTTAATTATACTAGTTATAGTTATAAGTAATATGTTAAATTCTTTGCAACTGAAAGATTATACAATAACTTGTCTATCATAAAACAGGATGAAAATCTTATTCAATAGGCAGTACAAGTTAGAATTGATCTTCAAGATTTGTTATTTCAACAAAAATTTAGTGTATATCATCAAATCTGCTTATTTGCTTCTTATTTTGAAAGTAAATTAGAAAATTTTAATTACTATCATCCAAACACATTTAAGAATGAAACTGCAATTTCTTTGAGTGTTGGAAAGTAATTCATATTAATATCAATGTAAAGCCAAAGAAAAAGCACTATTTCTCAAGAAGTAAATATATAAAAATTCTTGAACCTAAAGACCTGATACAGGAACATTAGGATTACAAGTGTGATAAAACTAAAACTAGAAATGATTCAACAAGAATTATTCAACAGACATATAGACAATTCTAAGAAAGAGTATTATTGAATACATAACTTGCTTAAAACAGCTTAGCAAATAATAATACTTTAGATGATATAAAATTTTAGGTTTAATAAGACATGAAGTAAAAAATTCTCAGACTTGAGAACAATTTAATTAGTGATGTACTAAATAGATTGAATTATATAAAAACAATTCTATGATATGCAGTTCTATTATTAATAGATAATATAAAGAATATTATATTCTGAATAATTGGATAGAATGCAAAAAGAGTCAATTGCAGATTAGAATCAAAAGTAACTTTTAGAGATAAAAGCATAGTATTTATTCAATTTATTAATTTCTTGTAGATACAAAATACCTATACTATTTATATAATATTTTTTGGTTATGCTAGTTCTACTGATACTCTTAAAAATATAGATAAGTAGTTGTTTACTGTTTTCCTAGAGGCAGAGTCTTATTGCTTTGCAATAATACTATTCTTAAGATCACAATTGAAAAATATATTATAAAATTTTTAGAATAAAAAATACTAATATGAAATAAACATCTATAAAGTGGGTTCAGCAGGTAATATATTTTTTATCTTGTGCTTTTGCTATAACTCTATCTCTTTCTGCAAATTTAATAGTATATCAAATTTTAACTGAATTGTTATTAGATCTTACTTGGATCTATCTAAATCAAATACAATGAACTTACTCTTGTGAAAATAGCTATTAATGACTATTGATACACTTTTACATTATTGATATATTGACCAACAATTTTGGAAACATCTTAAGAAGAACTATCACTGTTAAACAAAAATATATGAGAAAGTTCTTATATATAATCATTAAAACAAAATGGTATTTTTGCATAATAAATATTGATAAAATATTCTGATAATATTCATGTGTGAAAAATGGAATAATTTGATTTTGTATAGACTCAGAAGCAACACATAAATCTTCAAAGATAATAACAGTATTCCTTTCAGAGAAGAAAGATTTTACATTAGAAATTTTTTCAGATAAGATATAACTAAATCTAATATTTTTATAATATAATGCTCTTGGATTACTTGCAATTATTCTATATATATATCTAATAAAAGCCTATTTTGGTTCATCAAAATAGTATCCACAAACTATCAAATCATCACACTATATATATCTAGATCCACTCTTTTTCTTTTTATATATATATTTAGCTTTGTTACTAAGAACAAGATTTCTGAGTATATTAGTCTTATCTGTACTACTTTTTTTTGTAACTAGCTTAGCAAATAGTCATGATATTGCTGAATGTCCAATACAGCATGATGAAGCATGCTTTGTAACCTTATTAATATTCATAAGGAAAAGTTTTATTAGAGGTAATCTTATTTTTGAGTTTTTCTGTATAACAGATTGAGAATCCATAACTTTATTTTCTATATACTAAATAAAAATTTTCTTTTTCCTGATAATTTACTTTACTTTGTTCATTCATGGTTGGTTTATATATTCCAGAAAACAAATTACTAGAGGCAGTCATACTGTGAATATAATCTGGCTTCAAGTTTAAAAAACAAGAAGGCAGGATTGGGCAAAAAATTTGTCTATATATATACTATATAATTAATAATATTATTAAGGCAAAAATAACAAACTTAATAGAAGTAGTTTGATACTTATTAACCATGCTAGCACTTAATACTATAATAGGTAATTTCTTACTCCTTCCTATTGTAATATTATGAGATCTAATTAGAGTCATATTCTTTATCTCTTGAAATTAGTTTTCTGTATTGATTTGTTGTAATATATTATCTTTATTATTTTTATTAATAATAGTTTTATCACTTACCTTAGAAGTAATCTTAGTATCAATTTTTGAAGATTCTAAGATTGAAACAATTTTATCATTAGTATGAGTCAGTATATCAGTGCTAATTTTTTTGACTTTGTTCATAATTTTTCTGTATACAAAATATTAACTAAGATTTTTGCTAGTTTCACTAATTGCAGAAATATTATTATTGCAAAGCAATGACCCTTTGAGTCTAGACTTTGATATATTTTTTTCACTATTTTCACCAATTACAAATATCAAAATATCCTCTAATTTTAGATACTTAAGCTTACTGATCTTAAAATCTAATTCAATCTTTATATTTACCAATTCAGCTTTGAGGGACATTATCTCAAAATCTTTTTTTGATAAGTATTTCTGAGTTAAAGATAATTTTTCTTCTAATAACTTGATTCTAGATTAAAATAAATTCACTTTTTCCAATTTATTATAATATTTGGCTTTATACTTAATAAGGTTGGTATTTTTGCTTTTCAACTCTTTAATTTCTTCTTTGAGTTGTTTTTTAATCAAGTCATTTTGATTTTTA